GTGGGAAAAGGGAGGAGGGAAAGCGGGTGGTGGGTGGATGGACATAGGGAGCAAGGAGGCAGGGGAGAGCCACAAGCCACAGTGCAGCTACTGGAGAGTAAGTGGTTGCAGTGGTGTCACTAGGGGGGTGCAGGGACCGTAGACCACACCAAGTGACACCCCAGAAGTGGGGTGACACCCAACTGAGCACCACCCACCTCCCTGCTGTGCATCATGGTACGCTGCAGGGAGGGAGAGGCCTAGGGTACCTCTTCCTCCCTGCCCAGTGTGGCTTTATTCATATGTAAAGCCGTGTCAGGCAGGGAGGTGAGGGCATACCCTGAAGCCCTGACCCCAACACCAAGTGACATCTCAATGTGGCACACCACTGAGTGGTCAGACAATAAGCCCTGCATTGCAAAAGCCTGGACTTCAGACAGTGATCATATCCACAAACTCTCCAGGCATGTACTGTGAGGCACAGGGAGGAAAGAAACTGAAAACCCCGCTCGTTATAATCTCCATCCCCTCCCATGTTTGTATGTCCACATATTCAAATGTTCAAAGGCTCACAGGATTTCTGAAATGGAGACATTCAAATTCACTGAACTAAAAAAGCAAAAAACGTTGCAGTGCTTGGAGGCTGAAAGGAGACCAGACAGTGCCCTCTACCATCCAATCTCCCCCCGCCATTTCACCCAACCTCCTTAGTCAACAACAGTTTTTCTCTTCTTGTTGTCTCCCATCCCACCAATCCTTCTTCTGGCCTTTTTTTTCCCACTGACCTTCATGGGTTTTCTTGGGCTGATGAACATCAACAACAAAAAACGGTTATGCCACGCTTGCCAGATTAGGATGCCCACATAACCTCTCATCAACCTGTCCTACCCTCTAACCACTCCACTCCTGATCCCAATTTGGAATATTTAAAACTATTTTTTTTAAAAAAAACCTGTAGAGTAAAAAGGTTTTTTAAAACAATTGTTTTAAAGCCCTCAGGCATTGAAAAGAAGTGCTTTCACTTTGAATTCCGAGGAATGTTGTATATTCAAATAGGAGCAGGACTGAGTTAAGTATAAATTATTTTACAGATGTGGGTTCAGCCCAGGAAAGGAGTTGTAGTGTTGTGAGACATTTAGCCTTCTCTGTCAAAGAGCTCAGATATCATAACAAACTACAAATCCCAGGATTTCATAGGCTGGAACCATCACTATTAAAGTGGTGTCAAACTGCATTATTTCTCCAATGCAGAAGCAGTCTAGGCCACATTCCTCAAATTGAAAATGGCTCCAGGTGCAGGGCTTGGGAGAAACTAAACCCACTTCTTTTCAGCAGGACTGGCCCAAGACATTTTGCTGCCTGAAGCAAAAAGGTGACTGAACTAGCAGTTTAGTTTTTGATTATAGCAGTGAGTATCTTCCACTGCACCTGAAGCATCACATTAATTTGGGAGCACAGGACAAGTTGTGTGGAGAAGACAACAATGCTGTAGTCCAGGAATGACAACTAGCAGGCTACCACTGCTGTCCCCTTCAGCACTTATCATCTAAAGGAGGCTGGAAAAACTGACATCTTTGAAAGACCCAGGGACATATCAAGCATGTGTTAAATGTCTACGTTGCCTGGCACCAACTGAATCTCTGCCTCCCTGTTCAATCCAACCCCAGGATCCCAGCTGGCAAAACCTTGTGTCCTCCCAACCAAAACATTTTGCCCTGTAACACCACTTAACCTCACCCATTATGGCCAGCAATAACTGGGAAAAAAACCCACCCAGCAAAATGAACACATACAGGAACAACAGGAAAACAAATGTGGGGAATGTTTCCCTTTATGATCATTCTGCCTCCCCATATGACATTCTTAGCGTATCAGTAATTTAGAACATTAGGTTTTGGAAATAGGCGGTACAAAGTTAATTGGTCATACTCAGGAAATGTGAACACGGAGAACAAATTCAAGAGAGAAAAGTGTAAATTATCTTAAAAGGTTTCACTCTGCACTTCAGAGGAATTTAAATGCATGCCCAGTGTCTGAACAATGAGGAATTAACAGGCAAAATTTGTAAAATAGAGTCAAGATACTCCTTAGCTCCCCTCCTTAGACATCCTCCTTAGCTCCACTGTAGCACTCACCAGGTTCTGTAGCCTGTAAGTATTATTAGTGCAATAGGTATGGCTCCCACCATGGCACTACTTTCTCGTGATGATGGGATTGAGTGCCCTCATGAGGCAAGAAGCTATGCCAATAGTAGCAGTGCTACTGGTAGGGTATTCCAAATCAAGCAGACTTTTGCTGAAGAGCCAGATTAAATGGCCCAAACACTTGAATGTGGTAAAGGGAAGCTACTGGACAGCAGCAGTAGTGGGCTAAATGATGGAGGATCTCTCACAGGCAAAGACAGTAGCACTATAGCTAACTCTTGTTAGCAGTATGCAAAAGCAGGTAATGGTAAGCCACTTCTGGATGTCTTTTGCCTTGAAACCCCCATGGTGAAGCAGTCCAAAATGAAACAAGAGATACTGGTGAAGAAGAGTTGCAAGGCACTCAGACTCAAGCAACTGGATTCAAGCTGAAAGGAGCACAGCTGCAGATATATTCAGAGGTGATAGCAGTGATTGAACCTTCACAACACATGTATTGCCATTCTTGAGGACAGCAAGTTGACATAGACAAGAATGGAACATTTTACATTACAAAAAAACCTCAGTTCAGTTCTGGGCATCTCATTTTAAGAATTATATTAACAAGTTGGAGCAGGTTCAAATTGGAGCAGGTTCAGAGAAGGGCAACAAAGGTGATAAGAAATGTGTAGAACAAAACATAACAAAGGTTGAAGGAACTGGGCATGTTCAGCTTGACGAATTATACTCTTTATATACCTCAGGGGCTTTATATACCAAGGAGGGGGCAGGCTTGCTATCTGCTGCTCCAGAGAACAGGATCAATCCAATTGTTTTCAGATACAGGGAAGGAGATTTCAACTGAACATTAGAAGGAACTTCTTGACAGGTCAGTAAGAGCGGTTTGGGAATGGAATGAATTACCTAGAGAGGTTGTGCCTCCCCTCCTATGGAAATCTCCTAAAAGAGAGCTACCTGCTGGGAATGTTCTTACATTGAATGGGAGATTGGACTCCACATCCTTTCACATTCTTTAGGCAGGTGTGGGATTAAAAAACAAAATAAAATGTCCACTAGGGGGTATAGGATGCCCTTCCACATTTTGCACCCAGCCCCCCATTCAGACCTAAGAGAAACATTTTTTATTTTAAAGGAAATGATTTCTGCTCACTCCCTATTGTTAAAAAAAAGATCTTTCCTGGGCCTAAAAAGGCCAAGGAAGGCTCAAAAACATGGTGAAAATGACTCCCTACTCCTTTGAAGGTGTTTAAGTGTATTTTTAGTGTATTTTTAGTATGAGAAAAGAAAAGTGTTAAGGCTATTGCAACCTGCCTTGGAGCTCCAATTTAAAGTTTCTTGGAATGTGTTTCTTAAACTTCATGCTGGTAAGGAAAGTACCTTGAGCATCATCAGCAGAACGCCAGCGAGGAGGCAAAGCGAGGCAGTCCCCTCACTGCCTTATCCCCCATCTATGAGGCATTTTAAAGCCAATTAATGAAAGAACGGATTAGGTCTAGAAAACATAAAAGCTTTGTTTGTTTGCTACGCAGTGTCTGCCATGCCATCCTTTTATCTTTGTTGCAACCACTACCGCTGTTACTTTAAATAAACTTCCTTGTCCTCTTCCTTGTTCTCGAAGTTTGCTGCATGTCACTCTTCTTTTGTCCTAACTTTCCACAGCTGCCCACCTCTGTTCTGTGGGTCTGTCTGTCTGTACCTGTGTGAATTTCATAGTTTCCTTAGGTAAGGAATGGAAGTGATGTTGCCAGTTTCTTCCTCTGAAATAGAGCCCACAGCACCTGGTGTTGGTTGGGGGTCTCAGCTTCCAAGATCAGATGGGGTCTCATCTCTTTAGGCTATATGGGGTCTCCAACTTGATGGCAAATACACCACCAACATATAGTGACCACAAGGAGGAGGTGCTATCCTGCCTGCAAATAAGGCCTCCCTACCTTCTGAACTAAGACCAGAAGCAGCAAAATGCAGGCCAATGACTAACATCTTCAATTTTTTTCTCCTGTTTGCCTGATGAAGCCAGTGTGACTTCGAAAGCTTGCAACGTGTAATTGTGCATTTTGGTTGGCCCAATAAAGTTTTCATTGTTTGGATGTTATTGAATTTGCTATATGGCCAACACGGCTACCCCTGAATGTTTTTTGGATATCAAGATACCGCATTTTAGCCGCTACAGGGGAATCCTAAAGAGACAGCCAGCACACTGGGACCTTGCTATTTGAGGGTTCTGCCTCCAATGGAGGTAAAGCAATTTTTTTCTAATGTTGGGACTGGATTAGCATGCTTTACCTTTACATCACCTAAATTTTTCCTGATGCAAAACACGAAGACTTCTTGAGGAATCCAGTGTTCTCTACCTACATAGGAATCTGTGGCTTCACAAATGAAGGAGACATGTTGGATTTCAAAGCAAGCATCTTCTTTGAATTGCAAATAGACACTAAATTTTCTTGATTTTGACCGCATAGCCAAAGGGGCAGATGCCATCCGGCCTGCAGATAAGCTCTCCCTACCATCTGAACTAAGACCAGAAACAGCAAAATGCAAGCCAGTGATTAAAATCTTCAATTTTCTTTTCTCCTGTTTGCCTGATGAAGAAGCCAGTGTGACTTCAAAAGCCTGCAACATGTAATTGTACATTTTCGTTGGCCCAATAAAGGTATCATTGTTATTACATAGAGAGACAGAGTGGCCTAGTAGTTTGTGTGTTGGACGATGACTCTGGAGACTAGGGTTCGATTCCCAGCTCGGCCATAAAACCCACTGGGGGACTCTGGGCAAATCACACTCTCTCAGCCTCAGAGGAAGGCAATGACAAAACTTCCTCTTAAGAATTCATGCCAAGAAAACCCCATGATAGGGTCACCTTAGGTCAGAAATGTCTTGATGGCACCCCACAAAAACAAACAATGACTACTGGTTGCTCTGTGTGTACCTGATTTCCAGTGGCCTCTCCATTTATCTGCAAAGATAATGAAAGACTATGGAATGCCCTTAAAGACATGGGAGTGCCAGCACATCTGATATTCCTGATGAGGAATCTGTACTCAGGACAAGAGGCTACTGTCAGAACAGAACATGGAGAAACAGAATGGTTCCCAATTGGCAAAGGGGTCAGACAAGGCTGCATCCTTTCACCTTATCTGTTCAAATTGTATGCAGAACATATTATAAGAAAAGCAGGCTTAGACACAGAAGAAGGAGGAGTGAAAATAGGAGGAAGGAATATCAACAATCTAAGGTATGCAAATGACACCATAATACTAGCAGAAAACTTCACAGACCTGGAACATCTACTAAGGAGGATCAAAGAAGAAAATGCTAAAGCAGGTTTAATGTTGAACACAAAGAAAACAAAAATAATGACCACCAAAGACCTTCACAAGTTCAACCTAGACAATGAAGAAATAGAAATAGTAAAATAATTCCCATACCTGGGATCAAACATTGATAGAAATGGGGACTGCAGTCAGGAAATCAGAAGAAGGTTAAGAATGGGGAGGGTAGCTATGAAAGTACTAGAAAAGATTATAAAAACTCAGCACAAAAGTTATAATCATACAAGCCATTGTATTCCCTATTA